TATTTATTTATTTATTTATTTATTTATTTATTTATTTATTTATTTATTATTTATTATTTATTATATAATCTAATGCTTTTATTTCAATTGCATTGAATATGCATTGAACATTTTAAACATAATTTTTAAACATAATATAAAATCATTTCATTGAAATGAGCCAAAGACCATCTTCAAGAAAATCTGCCATCCAACATCAATCGACGAACAGAAAAAACCAAATCCAAGATGGGTGTGATGATTGTAATAATGAGTCTCAAATAGATGAAGATTCAAGATACGATCCTAAAGATCTCCGTGATCTCGTCCGTATACTCAGTCCATTCGTTAGACTAATCCTAGACACTAATAATCCGTACGCAAGACTAGTAGCTCAAGAAGTACGCAAAACTTTTTATCATTTGTTTTATCCTGATATGCATCCTTCAGACGTAGCGAAAACATTGAATTTGAAAACTAAATGTCAAAAATATCTACAATTGTGGAACGAATGTTGGCTGTATATTCCAGAATCACCAAATAAAAAATGGGTATCAATGCGTACACTTTTGGATGAAAATATCGTAGAACTATACAACTCATGTAGTGAAAACTACGTTAACCAGCAATCCGGATTGCAGCAGAGAACACCAAATTGTAATACAAACGAAATAAGAACTCAAACCGAACAATCTTCAGAATTTAACGTAGCATCTTTTTCTGAAATCTGCCCAAATTTATTTGACATGAACCCTCCAGATTGTATGTGTGAACACCAATTCGCGGGTTCTGACTTATTACCTTGCATAAATAATTCCAAATCAGAAGTCGAAAAAACAATATATCTTTCTTCACAAAACATTGACGACGAAATTAAATATATTCCTAAAATAGATTCGAAACTGATTTCTAATGAAATATCAGAAAGTGAACGTCTGCTCACCGAAGCTTTAAGTATAAATAGTCTTAATAGATTTAGAGATACAAATGGAAAAATTAAATTACGAGAATCTATTTTAGACGACAATTGTTTTAAACGTCAATCTGCAGGAAATGGTGTTTACTTACCATATTGCGAACCAGGATGCAGTAGAGACTCTGTAAGACCTATATTCACACAGGGAAATATGGGCCAATACGAATACTACAGAATAACTGGGAATACACCATCACCACGACTAGGTAATCTGAGGTTTAGATCCCTACCAAGAACACCGGTTGAACCAGAACTCAGAACAAATGCTTTAAGGGATTGCGATACTGATACGATGAGCTATGAAGAATCTGATGAATCAGGTTCAGTCGTAAGTGTAAAAAGCTTTAATCCATTAAAATGTAACTCAAGTATAGTGGCCAACGCATTTAATAACTTATCATTAGAAGTACAAAAACTTAAGAAAAAGAAGAATGCTTTTACGGTATTGACAAAAAATTATTTGAAATTTATGTCGAACTCTTTCGAAGGAGATAACTTGTGTATGGACAGTTCGATATCCAAAACAGTTTTGCAAAGTATCAATGAAAACCCACCGACAAATTGTAAACAGTTCGACGATGACGAGTGGAATGATAATGCTTTTAGGGACAAAGATTTCATTAATTTACTTCCATTTTATGAACTTGTTCATAATCAATTGGAATGTATTTCGAAAACACAACAAGATTATTGTATCAATATGTTAGATGACATAATGTCCACTTTTTTTTCATATACATTACGATCTTGGCGATCCAAGACTTAAAAATGATATGCTCGTTGAACATGTCAAGCTTATTACAAGGAATACTTGGGAGTTATATTTTTATAAGAAAAATAAGAAAATGCCTACAATACCTGAGAAATCATATTGTCCATTAAGTCCACAAGGTGTGCCACCGCAAGTTAGTCTGAAGCCATCTAACCTTAGGCCATCCAATCTTGAAGATCCAGGTCCGAGGTCACCAAATCCAATAAAACCTCCTAGTATAAAGCAATTTGGCCCAAATAAAAACCTGAAAAGTAATTCATCGACGACTATAAATAAAAAATCACGAGTGACGGATGCACCTCAACAGTGCGTAGCCAATCCTCCTATAGAAAAAAAAAGTAAATAAATAATAATTGACTTTCTTAGTGTTCTTTAAGTAAACAATGAATATCATATGGTTTTATATTAACTTTAAATTGTATTGCAGGTAATTTTTTGCGAAGAAGTCGGCCAAGTGGAGCACCTAAAAAATGGGCACCAAAAATGAAACCAACGGAACGACCAGAAACCTTAAAAGAATTTAAAGCGAGACCTTTGCCAAAATTTGTGCGCGATAAATTAAATACTCATAACGAACCATGTTGAAGAAAAATTTGATATCATCAAAACAATAACATAGATTAAATTTTAAATTGTTTTTAAAAAGTATCTCAAGTTCAAAAAATTCAATTTTAATGAAGTTAACAAATGAGTTATAATTATATTTATATTAGGTACATCGTTTAGCTTCTATGATAATATTCCTTGTTCAATTTATTTTCTTTTATTGAACAACAATATATCTAATCCTCCAAAATTGTAAATTCAAAGTCTAAATAATAAAGTGTTACTAATATTCCTTTCCAATGAAAAAATAGATAGACCATCTTCAGGACTATATGACGAGATTATTTTAGTAAAAAACGTCGGTAAAATGTTGACATCCAAAGATATTCGTGTAATGCAATGTGTTTTGCCTAGTATTCAGTCAATCCTATGTTGTTCGCTATATCGTCCATTACACCTATAAATTAAATAATATGCTAGTAGTATTAGTAATTTCTAAATTATGATATTCCTAAATGGCTTAATACAAAATATCTATTCATATAACAATAATAAAATATGATTATTATAATTATTTTCTTAGGCTCTAACAAAATAGTACCATACAAAAAGTGAGGCGCTGTTTATAAATTAGATAATTATAAAAATATTTAATTTCTATTAAAAAATATTTTTAGTAAACAATTTTATGAAATATATATATATATGTATTTTATGTTTGCTGTGTTATTACAACAAAATGTAATCAATTATATAAGTATTTTAATAAAGACAATATAAACAAAAACATATAATATATATATATATATATATATTCGTTTATATTCCTTGTATATTGTACGTGTTTTAAATTAGTTATAAATAGATTGTGTGTTACACACAGTCTTCACCATTAAAGCGTAGAATAAATTATAAACTATATTTATACTTCAGAAAATAGGTCATAAGCGATTTCAACCCCATTTGCATTGTTGACTTCACAATTGTAAGAGATCCCGAGAACATTATGGATGGGAAAACAATTGAACGTCTAAGAAATAAAGTATCGTAAGAATAAAATAATATTCAATCGAATAAATTTGTAAAATTTGTAGAAGCCTTTAGCTTAAGACTTATAAATTAATTATTTATTGTTCATTATATTGTTTTACAATGAAAAAAAACTAGGTTATAGGTTCCTCTTCGTCTTTTTTACAATGTTGCCGATTGAAAATCATAGTTTGCATTGATAGTGTAATCTCTATTTCTCAACCACATAATTTTTATCGAAAAATGTACCTATATTTTAAACCTAGATAGTAATCAATAAAGCCGATTGTTTGGTATTTGGTAAATCGCTGTTATTTTTAAATTTATGTATAAAAAATGTTTTTAAGCTATTCGATATTCCATAATCTAGAATAATTTTCTTTGCAAAACGAATAATGCGATATCCAGAACAGTGAAGATACTGACCGATACGTATAGTAGGCTCTATGTTTAGGATATGCAAAAAGCATGACATATGTGGTCTTTAAATTAATATCATATGATTTTGTATTGCACTATAATTATTATTATATTTTTATAATCCTAGTCTAGTTCTAGACATTTTTATTTATTTTTGAAACATAAATTTTACTTATAATTATGTTATAACGATTTAATATGTTAACAAAATTAATATTTTGCTTGAGTAGAGATAAGATAGCTTAATGCTTTTAACTACGGAACAAGAAATGGCTATTAATTTAAATCCTGATGATATTATTGATGACTTAAAAGTCGCAACTAAATGCAGAATTGTATTATGATCAATTATACTCGTAATTATTAAGCAAATTTATTTTGTTTTTTCATTGAAGTATATGACTATGTTTTTGTTTGTCTACATTATTTAAAATGTTATGTATTATATTTTTTTTCGTAATTTAATTATAACGACTATTATAACAATAAAAAAATGGCTATTCAATCATTTTTATTAGGAAAAAATTAAAATTTAAAATTTAACAGTTATTTAGACGTTTGTGTATATATTTTTACCGGAATTTTGAACGCTTAAAATAACTTTCAATAAAGAGGGGGAGGCGTAATATTTTGCAAACCTTGAATACATGGTCTGTGAAGTACATCTATGTTAGTAATATACACAGACGGTTTCTGCAAATAAATTCGTCACGTTGTTATCGTGTAACAATGTAAAGAACGTCTGCCACTATCGATCGAATAAAATAACGAGTCAAAAATATTTGTACATACATATTAAAATATTGACCTTATTGAATGCACGGACACAACTGCAAATAAATGCATGTAGTACCCATTATAACGGTGTACGTATATATTAAATAAAAAATCAACGTGGGAAACGTTTATTGAACTTTATCGATGTCGTAATCAGATTCAAATAATTTATCAGACTCGAAAAGTAATTTAAAATGGTCTAAATCGGACCTTAAACCGCGAGAGCGGTTGTGGCGTTACGCGATAGAATCGTCTGGATGATTTCGACAACATTTTCTTGCCGATGGTTGTTAAACACGTGGTCGGATATAACCGTATAAATTATACATAAATGAATACGTGTACGTATTGTATACCCTCAGTCGCCCGTGTAGAAAGCTTATTCTTTGACGCGTCGGAAGTCGAAACAACTCTCGTCCGCGTTTGCCACCTGTTTAACGAACATTATATGTAATTACAAAAATAAGAAAATATCACTTATTAGTTATTATAGGAAGAAAAAAAATATTATGTATATACGTAATATAATGTAATACATATAATAATAATAATAATAACGATGAGACACGGGTGGAAAATAAACCTATAGAAAATATATCGATTATAACCCAGCGTGTTTTCACATCGTAGATTAATGGCTGCGACGGCGGCCCGCGTCAGGACATAATGCGGCGTGGATGTGTGTAAGGATGTAAGGATAGCGGCCGAGTTGCGTGCTTCGATTAATGGAAACGGCGACGGCATGCGTTTCCCGTGCCCGTACGGGACTACCGCCATACCTACAACAGCAACAACAACGGTCTGTACACGGTTGGGAGCAGATGTGTCGTGCACGAGGTACCTTAAACATGTATACATGTATATGTGTGTGCATATATACAATTGTATTTATATTTTTATAACGTGTACGAACGTGTAGAGAGAGATATGGAGACCCAGCGGCGGCAGTGTGTTATAGATATTATTATTTGCCAAAGAAACGCATAACACAATAGCCGCCGTCGCCGCCGCCGCCGCCGCCGTCGTTTGTACAATACGTGTTATACATATATATAATATTATCTTCTTCGTCTTCGTGTCGTCATCATCGTTGCTGACGAACCGTGTGCGGACGGCTGCACAAAATAGTAGTAGTAGGAGCCCTGTTTCCTTGCCCGTCACCGCCGCCGCCCGCGTGGCAGCTGCGTCGTCGTTGATGGAATACGGCGGCGGCAGCGGACGCGATCAATGGACGACGACGGCGGCGGCGGCGGCGGCGGCGGCGTCGGCGACTACGGCGAAGGAACGACCGTCGTCCCTCGGGGGCCTTCGTGTGCACGAGAATTTTCTTCGAATGGAATCCGCCGCCATCGCCACCACCGCTGAGTCCTTATTTCCTTCCAATTGCCAAGACGGCAACTAAATACTTGTGTATAATATAAATATATATATTTATAATCGTATACGTATATGGGATAAAAGTCGACAATGTAATAATAATAATATGTAATAATAATAATATGATCGAAATGATAATATGGCGTGCATACAGTATATATACATAGGGATCCAATGCCGGATATACAAGTGGTATACTTCGATGTACACCGCAGTCTTATGACTCGAGAGCGGTTATATCTGTAGACCTCATGTTTTCTCGAATACGTTTTTTGGGGCATAAAATATAATTTTAATAAATTTAATTTGTAAGAAAAAATTGCACTCTCCAACTCTTCTACAATACATAACATTTTGAAAGTAGTGTTCTGGAAAATAACCAAAATAGTGTTAAACTTGACCGTTTAAATAGTTCTTTTTTACTTTTTTCGAATCATTTAGGTTCAATTACTTTACGTCGTTGTAGTATTTCGTTTTAATTTTTTTTTTATCTACGAGCTTATACATTTTAGCTGTTTCGAGGCTTCAAGATTCATTTTCCTTTCCCCATAATGAAACAATATGGTTCACACTATATACACACGTACGATAATCATCGTTGTTATCTTTAAATGATTATAATATCCATTGCGCCTGAAACTTTCGAAAAAAAAGTTTTCAACTCACCTACGTCGAAAACGGTTTTCTCGACAGCCCGAGACAGCCAACAGCCGTGATTATGCGGTGTAGGTACACAATTGCCATATAGCGTGGTTTTTTTGTGTTATTGCCTTTCAACGCGATTAACGAGTTGCAGCGGTGAAATTGCTCGGACAAATTCTCCAACCCTGTTCCCAGTTTTTTTGCTCGTAAGTATATTGCTATGGATATATATATATTGTGCATACGAGACGTTTTCAAATTACATAGGAAAAAAAACGTTTTTCAGTTTAAAATTGAGGTAGTAAATAATGTTTGTCAAAATCCTTTGTCGGAAAACATATTGTTTCAAACGCGTCTGACACTGAGGCCGGTTCCATTCTTATGTATTTTAATAATTTAACATATTATATACATTTCTGAAATAACGCTCGTTCCGTTCAATCGAAACCGCGGCGGCGCCACCGCAGAACCATAAATGTACCGATATCCGCGAATAATAGTAAATATCATATGTTTCCGGTAATCGTAAAAATAAACCTTTTCTGTGGTATAATGGTTTGATGTAGACATGAATAGTATTCATATTTTGAAATAATATACGAAGTAGTCGTGTATAACTGCCGAGATTGAAAAAGAAAAATCTTGTAAGGTACTAGTGCCAATTGTTAATGATCCCTGGTGTTCAGCATATGAATGATAAAATAATGTCATAAGCTCATGAGTTCAAATTACAAGGCTTAAATCACATTATTCACGGGGTGAAATATTATATTAAAAAACTTAAAAATGATTCA